AGCTGTGGAAGTTCCACCTCTGTCATTTTATCAATAGCTCTGATATTTCTGTAGGCAAATGCATGCAGTGTGTTCTAGAAATATGGAAGGAGTGCTAACAATTGATTTTCTTTTGGAGGAGGAGGAGGAGAGGGGTTTTATTACTCCAGGAATTGCAGTCACTCGGAGTACCCAGTTGATTGAAATATGGCTTTTGCATTTCCCTATTGATTAGATGGTGGGAGGGTATTGATCAGCTCATGGTGTTCCCTGCCTGTTCTCTGCTTTCTGAGGTCTGCAGTGAGGAAGACAACCAAACAGTCAGTTCTGAAACAGTTTGAGGAAGTAGAAAAGTACCATATGGAAGGCTCCTTATATTTAAGGGTTCATTTCCTCTTTTTCCATATGCTTTTAGACTGTGGTATAAAGGCTTTTATTTTGCGTAGCAGGTATCATTGCCTGTCTCTTTGCATGTGGAAACTCAGAGTAATTATTTTCTCTTTTTTTTGCGTTCATCAGTTATCTGGCTTTTTAAGAAGTACCTCACCGAAAGAACGCATGCAATGATAAAACTACCCCTCCAGGCCTCAAGTTGCGAAATAATGATTCACTGGCAGCCTGAGGTGCGATAGGTTTAGAAAGAGTTACAGCACCTCTTCTGCTGTTCAGATGAATGCAGTCTAAGGCAAATGTTACAATAGGACTCTGCAGGACTTTGAATCAAAGACAAAAAGGTGTTTTGGATCACGCAGGGCACTGACTGAAAATCCTTCAAATAGCTGCATTTTTTCCCCAGGATTGTTCATCTGGCTTCTCCAGTTGCAGCACAATCTCAAGAAAAGAGGTGTTTCATTTATGCTGGATTTGTTTCATTTTTTAAAAAAATGTTTCTCTGAATCCTAGAGTGCAAATTCAGAGTGCATGGTAGGAGAGGATATACATTTATCTAGTCAATAAATAATAAATGAACTAATATTTGCTCTAGTCAATGTTTGCTCGGACTTTCTTTATTTAATATAAAATTATTGATTCAGTTTATAGTGCAGTGCACAACTGGTCTAGATATATGCTGAGTCATTATTCCCAGCCTGATTTACTCCAGATGGGTTAGATTTCAAATCTTAGAATTCACCTGTGCCGCTCAGTATATGCTGTTCCTGCCTGCATCTTACACTCTGCCACTATGTGTTGGACTGTCTCTGAGG